AAAGGGAAAGGGAAAGGGAAAGGGAAAGGGAAAGGGAAAGGGAAAGGGAAAGGGAAAGGGAAAGGGAAAAAGAAAAGCTTCCAAAAGCTCTTCACTACAGCTGTATTAGGAGAGCAGAAGATCTCTCAGTATTGTTATTGCCATCCAGTTTGGATTGTTGCTCACTTTCACAGTTTGTCCCAGAACATTAAGTTTCTAAACCAACATGTCATTCTGATGGCATTTGATCTAGCATTTGAATCACCCACTGGAACCTGAGAAGCTTCTTTTGCTTCTTTTGTGCCCCTTGCTAGTGCATCTTGCATACAGAAATAATCTCACAAGCCCCATCACTGCAGAACCCCTGAGAAGTTAGTGCCAAATGTACACCAGCCATTTTAAAGTGAGGAGGAGATAAATAAAAAGCAGACATCCTGGTACAAGTGAAGAAAAGAACTCATAGGGCTGAACGTGAATTATCAAGCAAATTTTCAGAAGCAAGGTGTCACTATGCTGAAATCACACTGTGGTGAGATCACAGAACCACAGAAATAGAGAATCAGAGAACCTCAGAGTGGTTTGGGGTGGAAAGGCCCTTAAAGCCCATCCAGAGCCACCCCCTGCCATGGGCAGGAACACCTTCCACCACTCCAGGTTGCTCCAAGCCCTGTCCAGCCTGGCCTTGGACACTTCCAGGGATCCAGGGGCAGCCACAGCTTCTCTGGGTAACCTGTGCCAGGGCCTCCCCACCCTCACAGGGAATGATTTCCTCCCAGTATCTAACCTAAATCTACCCTCCTTCAGCTTAAATGCATTGGAAAGGAAGATGAAGTTTGAAATCTGAAAAATGGGGATTTTGAGGTATTTCAGTAACAGGTAGAAGTACAGTTCAGGTGCTGTTTAGAACCGTCCTATAAAATAATTTGTAATAATGAGGTCAAATTTTATGTAAATTTTTTTTAAATTTAGAATGTCTCACCATCTCTTCAAGAGAGAAAGATTTTTTTTCTTGAGTATTTACAGTACAAGCACACTCTGACCTGTGGGACAGAAAAATTATACTGGATCACTATTTAAAAAAAAGCAAAGTGCTTTGAAAAGCTGAACTTGTGGGACATAGGCAAGAAAAAAGTCAGTTGCATATTCTCCACTCTCTCTTTTGATTTCCATTTATTTTAGCTTCTTTAGTCTATACATCTCTATAAATCATTTATTGCTTTATATTTTTATAGTGAAAATTATAGCAACCAAAGCCATCTTTTCCTTACATTGTTTAATTTTCAATTTTCAAATGGTTATTATTATTTAATTCCAATTTTCAAATGCTGATTTGGAACATGGAGGAAAATTCATGTGGTTTTCTCCAGAAATAGTAAAGGTAACTATTGGCAGCTTGGTTTATCTGTCTCGCCAGCTAGACAGTTACAATGACAAAGTTAATTCAAAAAGCATCAATTTATTGATATTGTCACAATTAATGTTCCTCTTGTTTGAACTTTACATTTTTATTGCACTGGCACATTGATGCAATGAACTCATTTTAATTTGCAGGACCAAGGCCTTTAAGGCACTCTAAGAAGGAAAGCATTCAAGTACATTGAATCCTAAACCTGGAATGTTTAAAGCAGCCTTGTTAGCCCTGGTGACAAGAATGACACCAGTCTGTGAAAAGTTATGGATTTCCTCTCTACAGCAAGCAGCAGGTCTGGCATTCCAAGAACAGATATCAATAAGCTTTTTGCATCCCATGAGTGTCATTGTATTGGATTTAGGTGTCCAGGTGTTGGTGTCTCAGTTAGAGGAGATCAGGGGCTGCCCTGTGCTGGTCACAGACAGTTCCAGCTTATTTCAGACAGTTTCAGGTGCACAACAGAGCAACCACTGGGCAAAGCTGAGCACCATTAGAAAACTGCAGAAATATTAGGAAAGGGCTCATGCTGCACAGGCAGTGACAAAAAGAGAATTGAGGAAAAAGTAGATTATAACAGAAGAACAAAAACAAATAACATTGAGGGGGGAAAAATGCAGTAAATAGTTACTGAGGCATTTAGAGAAACATCTTTGCTTTCCCTAGTGCAGACTTCAGAGAGAGGAGTCCTTCCTGCCCCCTTTCCAGCCTCAGTTTTCTGTGGTTTTGCTGAATTTCCTTGTTTCTTTGGTGAGGTAAAAAGTGATGCAGAAGGCTGGAATCAGCTTGTAATGTTTCTCTACTGCCATACTTTGTTCACCTCATTTTCCTACACTAATTGTAACTTCTTACTTGTTTCCTTCAGCACACATCTCTGGGCTGCAGACCTTGAGACATGCACTCCTGGGACTCAGGAGTCCTCCAGAAAGAGCTGGATGTGGGAACTCCACAAGGACACAGACACTGTTCTACCTTGGATGGCTGCCACATCGTGTGTGCCCAGCAACAGGACAAGAGGCCAGAGGTAGAAACTGATGTCCAGGAAGTTCCACCTTAATATGAGGAAAAACATTTTTCCTGTGCAGTGACTGAGCACTGACACAGATTTACTAGAGAGGGTGTGGAGTCTCCTCCCTGGGGATATTCCAGACCTGTCTGGACACACTTCTGGGCCCTGGGCTCTGGGATGGCCCTGCTGGAGCAGGGAGGTGGCACCACATGAGCCACTGTGGGCCCTTCCAGTGACAGGACAAGAGGACACAGCCTTAAGCTGCACCAGGGGAGGTTTAGGCTGGACATTAGGGAGAAGTTCTTCACAGGAAGAGTGGCTGGGTGTTGGAATGAGCTGCCCAGGGAGTTGGTGGAGACACCATCTCTGGATGTAGAATCATTGCCATGGTCTAGTTGACGAGATGGTGTTAGGTCATAGGTTGGGCTGAATGATATCAAAGATCTTTCCCAACCTGATTGATTCTGTGATTCTGTCATCTCACTTGATGGGTAAATCTCCTTGTAGAGGC